TATGCATACAGTATTCTGCCTGCATACCAGAAGAGGGTGCCAGATCTCATTACAGATGGCTGTGAGCCACCATGTGGTTGCTGGGAATTGAACTCAGGACCTCTAGAAGAACAGTCAGTGCTCTTAACCACTGAGCTATCTCTCCAGCCCTAGGGTTTCTCTTTGTAGCTCTGGCTGTCCTGAATTCTATTTGTAGCCCAGGCTGGTCTCAAACTCATATAGACCATCTGCCTCTGCCTCCCAGAGTGCTGGGATTAAAGACGTGCGCCACCACACCTGGCTTTGTTCTTTTTCTTAATTAATCTATTATAAATGTTTGAATTATGTATATATTGGCAGTTGGCATATTTCCAGGGGAGAGCACCATGCTTACTCATGAAAGTATTAGTGTCCACTTTCATTAACGCTGATAAGAAAACATGTAGTATGAGAATATTCCCAAAGAAACCAATTTAGCTACTAAGAACTAACCACAAAGCCCAATACTTACCACTTTTTCCACAAGAAACACTGAGTCGTCTTCATTTAGAATTGTTTTCAGAAGACTTGGTTGGCCTTTGCTGATCAGCTGCACTTGCACATCAGCCTGTTAAAGACAGACTGTAGCGTTTTTTATACGTAATTTAAGAACTACAGACCAGCCACAGGCTAATTACTAAAAAAGAACATGTTTCAAAATGTTTCCCTGCTGGGCTGTGGTGGTGGTGGTGCGCGTCTTTAATCCCAGCACTCAGAAGGCAGAGGCAGGTGAATCCCTGTGAGTTCAAGGCCAGCCTGGTCTACAGAGTGAGTTCCAAGACTGTTTCAGAGAAACCCTGTCTCAAAAAACAAAACAACAACAACAAGAAGGTTTCCCTTCTTTTGCCAGGTTTCTCATGTTAGAAAACCTAGCTCATGGATTGGGGAAATATGTCAGTTTGTGAACTGTTTGTTGCTCAAGCATGGGGGCCTCAGTTCAATCGCCAGCATCCCTGTAAAGCTGAACACAAGGGCATGTATCTACAACTCCAGCGCTCTGTGCTGGGGAGGCAGAGACAGGAAAACTTCTGGGGCTTGCTGGCCATTCAGTACAGCCAAGTAAGGAGTTCTACACTGAGTAGGAGACCTTGTCACAAAATAACTAAGGTGGACAGCAACTGAGGAAGACACCCACCATTGACCTCTGGCCTTGACAAGTACCTATAAGGACGGACATGTGCATGCACATACACAAGAAAATCTAGCTTTTTTTTTTCTCCTCGAGACAGGGTTTCTCTGTGTAGCTTTGGAGTCTGTCCTGGAACTCACTCTGTAGACCAGGCTGGCCTTGAACTCAGAGATCCGCCTGGCTCTGCCTCCCGAGTGCTGGGATTAAAGGCATGTGCCACTGCCGCCACCCGGCCAAGAAACCATGTATTTTATTTATTGATGTTCTGGAAATGGCAAAGCTAGAGAGATAGAAAACAAATGAGCAGTGCGGGTCCTAGAGACATAGGAAACTGCTAATAATACAGGGACATGAGCACATTTTCAGACAGGAAATAGTCTACATTTTGATAATAGGGTCAGCTGCACTTCTGAAGGTATTTGTCAAAATTCATAGAACTATTTCTTAAAAGGGTAAAATTTAGCATATGTAAATTAGTTTTTTAAAAAACCTGATTAAAAACCTATGATTTTAGGATCATTATGTTTAAAACCAAATAAATTGCTCATACCTCATAGATGAATGGATCTTTACAGACTCCTTTCTTTTCTTCATTAAATTCCCTGAAATACAGAATGTGTGGAAAAGAGAGCTGTGGGATCAGCCTTGTTATTCAAGTTTAGAAATGAGCTGGTGCTTTCTTTACGCACCAGCAGAAACGCTTAGTCCTTACAACAGCTGCAAGGCTAGCTTCAGAATGGAGAACAATTGGGTTAAGAGAAGATTAAGGAGGTTAGGCTTTTGGGGCATGCCTTCAATCCCAGCAGAGGCAGGCAGAGTTCTGAGTTCCAGGCTGGCCAGGGACACAGAGGAGACTCCATCTCACAATAATTTTTTTTGGTGGGGAGTGGGAGTAGGCGTGGGTAAGATGGCTGGAGAGATAGCTCAGGGGTTAAAGCACTATTGCTCCTGTAGAGGGTCACATGATGGCTCACAACAGTATCTGTAATTCCAGTTCCAAGGGATCTGACATCCTTTTCAGACCTCTGCAGGCACCACCAGGCAGGAACCAGTGTACACACATACATGCAGATAAAACACACATATAAAATAAATGAATATAAAAATGTTTTGATTATGTGTGTATGTAAGGGGAATGGGTAATGTATGTGTGAGTGCAGGTGCCCAAGAAGGCACTCACCGGAGGGGAATTTACAGGTGACTGTGAGCTGCCTGCTGTGGACTCTGGAAATCAAATTCTGGTCCTCTAGAATAGTACGTGCTCTTAGCCCCTGAGCCATCCCTCCAGATTCATTAAATTAAAACAAGACAAAACAAAAACAAAAACGAGGGCTGAAGAGATGGCTCAGAAGTTAAGAGCACTGGATGCTTTTCCAGAGGTCCTGAGTTCAATTCCCAGCAACCACATGGTGGCTCACAACCATCTGTAATGTGATCTGGTGTCCACTTCTGGCTTGCAGGCAGAACACTGTGTACATAATAAAGAAATAAATCTTAAAAAAAAAAAAAATCTTTATTTAAAAAAAAAATTTCAAAAGTCTGCTAGGGATGGTGAACTATACCTGTGATTCCAGCACTTGCCATGCTGAAGCAGGAAGGTGACAAGTACCAGGGCAACTTGGGTTGTACAGTGAGAGCCTATTTAAAAAACAAAACCAGGGCCCGGCAGTGCACGCCTTTAATTCCAGCACTCTGGAGGCAGAGGAAGGTGGATCTCTGTGAGTTCAAGGCCAGCCTGGTCTACAGAGTGAGTTCCAGGACAGCCAGGACTACACAGAGAAACACTGTTGTGGAAAAAAAAAAAAAGTGGGGAGGAGAAAGAGAGAGAGAGAGAGAGGGGAGAGGAGGGGGGTAGTTATTAAAAAAGATTTGTGGGGCTGGAGAGATGGCTTGGCAGTTGAGAAGTTGAGAGCACTGGCTGCTCTTTCAGAGGTCCTGAGTTCAATTCCCAGCAACCACAGCTGTCCTGGAACTTTGCTTTGTAGATCAGGCTGGCCTCGAACTCACAAATATCTGTCTGCCTTTGCCTCCCAAGAGCTGGATATTAAAGGCGTGTCCCACCACAAACAGCTGTTTTTTTTTTTTTTTTTTTTTTTTTTATTTATTATACTTACTTACACAAGTGTATGTGAGTGTGTGTGGGGGGGTGCGTGAAGTCAGAGGACAACTTGTGGGATATTTTCTCCTTCCACAATGTGGGTCTCCTGCCATGAGTCCTGCTGAACCATCTCTCTGGCCCAAGAATGTGAATTTTTCTTAAAATTGATTGTCCTTTACATATAATTCAAGGATACTGCTTGGTCATTCAACATCTGTTTCTCAAACATTCTTGCTAGATACTGGGAATAGCAAACAAAACCAGTAGTGGCAGGAATCCAAAAAGTGAACTGTCAGTTATGGGTACCAGAAACTCTGGGAGGAGAATAACTGAATGACTTGCAGCTTTTCAGTCATGAGAAAGGCCCCAAGTATCACAGCGGAGATGGGGAGGAACAAGGAGACTGGGACCAACCCACCTCCAATCCTCAGCAAAGAAACAAAACAACCCAAGTGGTGGGGAGTCTGGGAAAGGTGAAGAGAAGGAAGTTGGAATCTTAGATTTACAAGTCTTAACTTGAAAGAATTCTGCAGTTAAATGCCACATTGAGAAGAAAACACCCAGGAAATAATTAGTAAGCATAATGCATCTAAGTAAATTTTTATCATAAAACAACCATAGAGGCGAGGGACATAATTTAGTTATAAGAATGCTTGCTTCGAGTGGATTCTTCTTCTAGAACCTCAAAAATTGGGCATGCCTATAACAACAGCACAGAGATGGAGATGGAGGCAGGATAGTTAACTTATGTTTGGCTTGGAGGCCAGCCTGGGCTACATGAGACCTTGGGTTTAAAATAACAAATTACTTAACACCATGGCAGAAATATCACAGCAGTTAAAAAAAAAACTAAAGTTTCTGAGCTCAAAGACATCATTAGCTTCTCTAAAAACACTAGCTCTTAGCTGGGCAGTGGTGGCACAGGCCTTTAATCCCAGTACTTGGGAGGCAGAGACAGGTGGATCTGATTTGGAGGCCAGCCTGGTCTACAGAGAGTTCCAGGACAACTAGGGCTACAGAGAGAAACTCTGTCTTGAAAAACAAAAACAAAACAAAAAACAGACTAGTTCTTCTCCTATAATGTTAAAGAGAGTTTTACAGTATTTGTAACAGGAAGAGCGGTTAAACATTATAAAAAACTATAAGCATTTAAGAAATAACTGTGCTATACCCAGCCAGCAACACCCTAAGCCTAGAATTTAGAAAGGTAACTTTTTGGTCTCACTTCAGACCTACTAATCAAAAACCTTGGTGGTCGTGCCCATAAACCTGTACTTTGACAATCCTCCGGGGTGGTTCTGATGCAAGGTCAGATGTGAGTCACTGTCCTCGATTCTCATACACGATGTAGAATTGACAGAATCCTCTTGTAGCAATATTTCACTAAAGGAACAATATGAATTCTGGCATGGGGGCTCACGCCTCTAATCTGAGGATCAGGAGTCTGGCTAGGGGTGTCGCTGCGAACTCGAGGTGAGTTTCTGTCTAGTTTAGGCTAGAGTTGGGACCCGATCTCAAGAAAATCACCTTGCTTTTAAAAGTCAGCTCACGGTCAAATGTAGCTCGTACGGTAACTCAAGAAACTGGACAACTAACTATACATTGCTTTTTCGGGAGTCAAAGCGTAAGGCAGGAGAAGGATGACATCTAGTTCTCCGTACCCCGGGGTCCTCTCCTCGGAAGTGGGTGCATCGCTAAGATGCGTCTATTGACCTGTGGGCTGGCCCCTCTAGCTCAAACACTCATGTGTTCTGGGGAGCGGAGCAGCGAGCGCCCTAGGCCTCAGAGCGGAGCCAAAGGCGCTGCACAGCCGAGGCCCGCCCCTTCCACTCCCAGACCCCAGCAAAGGCGGCGGCCGCGAAGCCTTCAGCTGTGGCAAGACGCGAGCGGGGAAACCAAGGCCGGGAGGGACACGGTGCCATTCCATTCCTCAACCACAACTCACTGCAGAAGACGAGCATAGAGCGCCTCAGCCGCGCGGTTCATGCGCGCCCACATCCCGCACCGGCCACGGTCCCGTCCGGGGCAGCTTAAACTGAACTGCGCGCCCAGGCGTGACGTCAGAGGCCGCGACCCCGCCCCGCCGGAACTACTTCGCGACATTAAGTTCGTTTGTACTCCGCGCTGACACATCGTTTTAATTTATTAGAATGTCCAGGCACATTTACTATTCCAATAGACTCCCATGTCTATCGGGGGGGGAAAAGAAAGTTAAAATAGATACTGTGACTGGGGAGTGGGAGGGGGAGAAACATCTCGCGAGAGTTGGTATCGGGTAACGAATTCATCCGCATAAAGGAGTCCCTCTATTCTAACCACTCTTTTTAGGTTTAGGGGGGAAAATGATATCAATTTGAGCATATGTAAAATAATAATATGGTGTTCTGAAATTTTTCAGCGCAGAGAGAGGCTTTGGCTCCCCGACGTGGTTTTGAGGCGGGGCAGGATGCCGGGGGTCAAGTGGAAGGATATATGTGGAGGGTAAGTGGTGAGTCCTTCCTTTTCCTGTGGGAGCCGCCGGGTGGAGAGGAGCGTGGCCCTCTCCTCTCCCCGCCATGGTGAGTGGAGGTCTTCCTCGCTGGACTTCCCACTGGTTTCTGGGGCCTGTGCGGGAGAATGAAGGCAGCAGGACATGATCCGCAGGAGAGGAGGAGATGGGAAGGGGATCTAACCCCGGGTTTTTTTGGCAGGGAACGGGGTTGTGGGAGCCGCGGCAGCCATCTTACAGGCAACGTGGGAGCCGGCGCAGGGTGGACGGCAGAGGGGCCTTTGGGACCCTCGCTTGCCGTAGTTCTAGCGGGGAGGAGGCCTCTGGAAACCCACCCCTTGGGTGCGGGAGACATCCCCGGTGGCAACTCGGCGTGGGCCTTGGCCGCGGCATGTGCTTGCCTCCCGGTGGCTGTCGGTGTCCATCGCCAAAGGAAAGCGCCGAGGGAAGTGACTTTTAAATGCCTTTCAGAAAGCTGGTCTCTGCCGCTTTGAAATCGTTTCTAGAGAAGCAAGTTCTTCTTCCCCTAAAGTAATGTTTTTATTTGACGTAACCTAGATGGTTTGAGCCCTAACTGAACTCTTAAGCTCGATCACATACAGCAGTAATAGTGTTTTTCCTCGGGTGTCATGTGCTATACTTAGTGGGTGGATTAAGGTTTGTCTTACCATCGAAAATTAGGATTTGGAGACGTGGCTGAGCTTCATCTTTAATAGGTTTGCCTATTAGTTGAGAACTTCAGTGAGAACGCAAAGATGGTCCCGAGTCTATGAAGGAACGTAGGGGAGCATCTAGGGAACAAGGTCAGAGAAGTGGGCAGGTGGCGTGGGCCAGCCGCAGGTGAGAGTTTGCTAGGCGTTGATACACGAAAAGTGTGACCTGTATTTTTCTGAGTAGAAAAAGAGGACTGGGATGTTGGACAAATGGAGGCAAGGTTTTCTGAAGTGTGGGGACTGTTTACATGGTCTCATTGAAAGGTATCTTCAAACTTCTGGTTGAGTTTTGCTTTTGAAGTTTTTTGTTTTTCTTTCAAAAAATAGCATCATCATTGGGGGTGTTCTTTGGCTGTAAAACTATTGAAATGATAGCCCTATTGGTAATATTTTAATCTTGTGTTCCTTGAATTTTGGTTCATGGTCTCCTGCAAGCCATTACTGACCTTGAACTTCTGCCAACACCTCTGGAGGGCTAAGGCTCTAACCCAGACCTCCCATACAGGCTAGACAAGCACAAACTGACGTGAATATAACAGCCTGTGACTTTGTCATTCTATTCGGATTTTAAGTGCTATCTGCCTCCAAAACCATTTAATGATGGGAAGAGTTTGCCTCCAATGTTGTCAGTATAGTTACTACCCTTTCCATTTTCTCAAGTGAGTATTCCTTATTACAATGTGACGCAGTTCTGCTGGGGCTTTTTGTGGATCAGAACATGAACTGCCTTTCTGGTCCCCAGTTCTTCTCAAGTAGTCCTATATCTGCTTGCAGGTCTTAGAGTGTGTATTTAAAGTCTGGATTCCACATACAGGAGCTGATGCTTGCTCTAAGTTAACTTTTTCTTCCCTCCAAGGCTTGTGCCCGTCCCCTCATATCGGTGTACTCTGAAAAGGGGGAGTCATCTGGCAAAAATGTCACTTTGCCAGCTGTGTTCAAAGCTCCCATTCGACCGGATATCGTGAACTTTGTTCACACCAACTTGAGGAAAAACAACAGACAGCCCTATGCTGTCAGTGAATTAGCAGGTATGGATTTCCATTTACCATGGGAAGGGCTGCTTCGCAGTGGGTGATGAAATGCCATTGGTCCGTGTTTCTGAACCATGTGATTTTCCTTGGCTATTCTGATACTGCCTTTACCGTGCATAAAGTAAGTCATCGGTTGTTAGAACTTACTACCTAAAACTTATTTCTTCTCAATTTTAGGTCATCAGACCAGTGCTGAGTCTTGGGGTACTGGCAGAGCTGTGGCTCGAATTCCCAGAGTTCGAGGTGGTGGGACCCACCGTTCTGGCCAGGGTGCCTTTGGAAATGTATCCTGTTTCTCTGATAGCATTCTTTGCAGTCACCCAACTGGACTTAGACTTGATTTGTTAACATTTAATAATGTTTTGAATCATGTCTAGAACTTCTAGTGTCCCTAATAAACATATCCTCTAGACCACAGTCTGGAGATGTTTTATGGGGGGTCCTTGCTATGATGTCGTAATTTGCGTCTTACTCTGTTCATGGCGACAGTTGCCTGCTGTCAGTAAGCTGGTTCAGAAGGTTGACGAAAATTGTTACTGAGCAAGTTATACCCTTGCTAATACTGCAGCCCTGGAAAATGATACAATTCTTGACAAAGAAAACAGATGTGTCGAGGAGGCCGCATGTTTGCTCCAACCAAAACCTGGCGTCGTTGGCACCGCCGAGTGAACACAACCCAAAAGCGATATGCCATCTGTTCTGCCCTGGCTGCCTCAGCCTTACCAGCATTGGTGATGTCTAAAGGTCTGTGATGCTTTGATACAGGACATTTAATTTCTACCTTTCATGAAAACCCCTGTTAGATGATAAGCTTGAGTGAATTCTGTTCCTCGGTGCCTACTAAAAGCAGTTTTGCTTGCTTTAATCTGTAACCTTGATTGTAGTTCCCAACAAATTCCTACCATGTTATTAACTGTCAAAATGATGAAATTCCACTTAATTGGTCCGTGTTTCTGAAACACATGATATTAGTGGAAATTCTGATTTGACAGTGCATGCCATTTTGCTTTGGGGTGTGTGTGTGTAAAGAGTTGAGACTTTCCTGTTAAGTATTGAATTGGCTTTCTTAGGTCATCGTATTGAGGAAGTTCCTGAACTCCCTTTGGTAGTTGAAGATAAGGTTGAAGGTTACAAGAAGACCAAGGAGGCTGTTCAACTGCTTAAAAAACTTAAAGCTTGGAATGACATCAAAAAGGTAGGTTCAGCGTTAATGTCTACCATTCAGTACTATCCGATTGGTTTGAAAGGATAAGTTGAGGGTTAAAGGGTGTGGGTAGTAGGCTTTCTGATTGGATATGGATTATAGAAATCTTTGAAAGATCTCTAAGTAAAGGTAGTTGTGCTAACCAAGTTCTCTGTAGTTAACCTCATATCTCGAGAATAGTGTAGATTTGATTTGTTTTGTGGTAATAGAAAATACGGAAGGTATTTACATGAGCATTACTGATCACATCATTTGTGTATGTGTGAGAGAACAACTTGGGAGGAGTTATCTCTGTTACCATTTTCTTAAAGGGCTTGATGCAGTATGGTTTGCTTGCAATGATGTTGTAATTTGCGTCCTACTCTGTTTTCAGTGACAGTTGCCTGCTGTCAGTAAGCTGATGCAGAAGGTTGACGAAAATTGTTACTGAGCAAGTGATAACCATTTATTAACTGGAATGTGGAGTGCTAACAGGATTGTGAATCCCAGGGATCGAAAAGATTAGCAGGCTTGGCTGAAAGTGCCTTTACCTGCTAGAGAGAGATTGTGTCTTGATCAGAATACTAAAGCTCCTCTCTCTATAGGTCTATGCCTCTCAGAGAATGAGAGCTGGCAAGGGCAAAATGAGAAACCGACGGCGTATCCAGCGCAGGGGACCTTGCATCATCTATAATGAAGATAATGGTATCATCAAGGCCTTCAGAAACATCCCTGGTAAATTCTTGGAATGTTTTCACTGCCTGTCTGTGCACACTCACTCAGTGTTCAGTTATGATGAAATTCCACTTCATGGTCCGTGTTTCTGAAATAACATGATTTTGTGGAAGTTCTGATTCCTAGTGAGTGAGTTCCACCATGATGGCTTGAACTTCACAGTTCATTCATTTTTATAAGTGCCTTGTGTGTAAGCCATACAAATTGTATTTCCTCTGTTGGTTGAATACAAGCTCTTTGATTCTTCCTTGCCTTTAAAGGTATCACTCTGCTTAATGTAAGCAAGCTGAACATTTTGAAACTTGCTCCTGGTGGGCATGTGGGGCGTTTCTGCATTTGGACTGAAAGTGCTTTCCGGAAGTTGGATGAGTTGTACGGCACTTGGCGGAAGGCTGCTTCCCTCAAGAGTAACTATAAGTGAGTTTCCCATGTTCCTTTATTACACATGGATACCTAAAGTGTACATTTAGATTCAGACTTGATTTATATTCTTCCTAAATTATGCATTATATTTTTACATTTCCCATTGTGTGGAGGAGTAATGCTCTGTCTTTGATCCATGGTTATAAAAGTTATGAGCTCGGGAATTCTGTACCTGGAGAGTTAATACATTTGAAATACAGTTCTTAAATGTTCAGTTAGAAGATAACAATTTGCACTGCTTGTCTTTTTCCCCAGCCTTCCCATGCACAAGATGTTGAACACAGACCTTAGCAGAATCTTGAAAAGCCCAGAGATCCAAAGAGCCCTCCGAGCACCACGGTAAGTAAGGTGTTGATGTCACCTCGTGCTCTCGCCTGACACTCTGACTCCTAAAGGCACACGTGTTGATTGATGAGTGCCCCCTCTTTACAGCAAGAAGATTCATCGTAGAGTCTTGAAGAAGAATCCACTGAAGAACCTGAGAATCATGTTGAAGCTGAACCCTTACGCAAAGACTATGCGCAGGAATACCATTCTTCGCCAGGCCAGAAATGTGAGCCATGATTTGCAATGTCAAGTATTGTTGATCTTTTTAAAAGATTGGGTACTCTTTCTCTCCCCCTCCCCCCTTCCCAGGGGCTCTATATCTCTGGCTATGTAGACCAGGCTGTCCTTGAACTGGCAGATTCACATGCTTCTGCCTCTCAAGTGCTGGGATTAAAGATGTTTTAATCCCAACCCCACTAATCCAGGTTGAAGACTGGATTCTTAGTTTCCTGCTTGCTTGTTTTTGTTGCAGCACAAACTCCGGGTGAAGAAGCTGGAAGCAGCAGCAGCAGCAGCACTGGCAGCCAAAGCGGAGAAGGGGACTGCAGACAAGAAGCCTGCAGAGAAGAAGGAAAAGAAGCCTGTGGGTGTCAAGAAGCTGAAGAAGCCTGTGGGAAAAAAGGTTGTAGCAACCAAGAAACCAGCAGCTGAGAAGAAGCCGGCAGAGAAGAAAACTACCACAGAAGAGAAGAAGTCTGCTGCTTAAACTATGAAAATCTGTTTCATTCCATAGAGTAAAGACACAGCCTATCTGAATAAAAACCTGATCAAAGATGCAGTGAGAAACAGTTGTGTGAATCTTTATTGTGGATGCTTCCAAAACCCTCCTCCCCCTTTGTGGGATTAGTGGTATGGCACTTGGAAATAAGGGGATCATCAGGATTGTAGAACAAGGACGTTTTTAATATTTCATTTTGTTTAGGCTGTAATTTGTTCTCTACATTCTAGTCTGGTATAAAATGAACTTGAGGTTTTCCCAGACCTGCAATGAAGTTCATTCTATTATATTAGCATTTCTCATTGACAATGTTTTAGAATTGTTTGAGAAGCCTGTGGGTTATTAAATCAGGAAGTGGGGGGAAGGTTCCACAGATAGCCTCAATAGATGTGGTAGCCATGGGAACTAAGTACTTAAACATAGCTAGTTGTATTACTAAATATAAATTATGCCAATCTGGTCGTCCTAGAACTAGGCTCATTTCCTCTTGCCTTCATGGCATTTGGTCAAAAGCATTAGCAGCCAGGATAAACTCAGGTAAAATAATTGTCTTAGAACTTAGCTTTTTCTTGCCCTGGTAAATGGGAGCTCCTTAAGCTTCATAGCGTTCATGTCCCACACTTAAGATTTGGCGCTGGAGAGGTGGCTCAGGTTAAGAGCATGGACTGCTCTTCCAGAGGTCCTGAGTTCAATTCCCAGCACCCATATGGTGGCTGTAATGAGATCTGGTGCCCTCTTCTGTGTACATCATCTTTAAAAAAAGATTTGAACTAGAGCCAGGCTGTGGTGGCAGTGCTCGCCTTTAATCTCAGCATCTGGAGGCAGAAGCAGGCGAATCTATGAGTTCAAGGCCAGCTTGGTCTACAGAGCAAGATCCAGGACAGGTACTAGAAATTGGTATTTTGGTTTCGGCCTGAGAGTGTCTCCAGCCTTTGTGGAGTAAAGTCATTTGGCACAAGTGACGCGTTAAAAGTGCTGCGGTGAGAACTGATTTCTTGAGGACTTTGAAACTAGTATATTCAGTTTTACTTTGAGGACCGAGCAACGGAAGTGAAGAATCTCCAAGCACCTTGCGGTTCCTTTAGCCCGTGCTTTCAGACTCTCGGTAGCTACCGGACCCATAGTAAGCTGCAGGAAGAGAATAAACAGGCGCCCCGTGGCTGCTTCCGGGAGTAGGAAGTGGCGTCATCACTGGGCGCCCGGCAGAAGGCAGCAGTCTAACCAGGAGAAAGAGGATGCTGAGCCGGCTACAGGAGCTCCGCAAGGAGGAGGAAACGCTACTGCGTCTAAAGGCGGCCCTACACGACCAACTGAACCGCCTCAAGGTGAGCTAGCCGCGGTCCAGCCGCAGCCCCTCGCGGGCGTCCGGCGCGTGCAGTAGAGCTCCGGGCAACTTGCTCCCCAGCGCTCCGGTCCTCTTGGTGTTTCGCGAGCTTAGGGGGCTAAGCCTCTGGCCCGCCGGCTCACGCCTCAGCTGCTCGTTACTAGTGTTTATGTGCACTGGAAAGGGCTTTAGTGCTGCAAAACTAGAAGGGAATTTAGATCCTCCTGCGGTACGAATAAGGTCTGGGAGAGAAACTTGTCCCCTAGAGTTCTCAGTAATTCTTATGGTAGCAGATACTGACTCGGAGGAACCCTGATTTACATCTGCCTTGATCTTTCCCTAGACCTAGGAGTAATTTAGCCCCTGTCAAATGATCATGGTAATCCCAGCTCTGCCCTTGTATGCAAGACCTTTAAATACACGACATGAGGATTACAGAAGCCCTTTATAAACTGAACTTGTATACCTGTGGTATAGAAAATGATAAGCAGTTTTCCTCAGGGCAGTTATAAATGGCCCTACACTTACTGCAACAGTACCCCTACAAGAACTTGATGAGTGTGTGTTGCAGATGACTCCCCAAACGCAGATACCCTGATGCTCCAGGAAAGACAAGCTTTTCTGATATTCTGCCTTCACTTTTTCCTTAATGATTAGGTAAGCTTAGGCTTAGGACATCCATCTGTGTCTGTAGAGCCAGCTGACCCCTGGCGCGCGCGTGAGAGAGAGACGGCAGAGACAGAGAAATGGCCTCCTTATGTAACCCAAGCTGGTCTTAAACTTTCTATGTAGCCTAGGTTGTTCTCAAACTTGTGATCCTTTTGCCTCCTCCAGTGCTGGGATTACAGGGATGCAATTGCACACCCAGCTACACCTGACTATATATATTCATCTCTTTCTTTATCTCTATGTATCTTTTGTTGGTTTAAGTTTTATATCTATTGTTGTATATAATTTTGTATCTATTGCATGTATGTCTGGGGAGGGCAGAAGGGGGTGTTGGATTGCCTGGGACTGGAGTTAGAGGTGGTTATGAGCCACTATATGGGTGCTGGGAATAGAACCCAGACTCTCTGGAAGAGCAGCCACTGGTTGCTCTGGTTGCCCTGTTTGCACTGGTTCTAGCCATTTGGAAGTATTCATCTCTCCAGTTCCTACACCTGGCTTTTTAATGATGCACCTGCATTTCCTCACTGAACTGCTTGGTCTTGGGGTGTGGAAGCTGCAGCTTAGCTGAACACCTATAAAGCCCCCCTCTTTAAAAAACGGGGTGAAAGCGATGGCTCAGTGGTTAAGAGCACTGACTGCTTTTCCAGAGGACCCAAATTCAATTTTCAGCACCTACATGGCAGCTAACAACTGTCTGTAACTTCAAGATCTGACACCCTCACACAGACATACATGCAGGCAAAACAGCAATAAAAATAAATAAATTTAAAAAGCAAGTAAACAGAAGCAGGTGCATCTCTTATAAGTTCAGAGCCAGCCTGGTCTACAGAATGAGTTCCAGGACAGCCAGGGATACACAGAGAAACCCTGTCTCAAAAAATCAGGTAAGGCTGTGTAGGGAACCTCAGAGTTGGCTCAAAACACCCCAAGACCAAGTTCTCAGCACAAAGGAGATTTATTTGCCCCAGAGGGACCGAGGACAGGGACTAAGAGACAAAGGCAGGAGACAGAGGATGAGGGGCACTAGAAGATAACAAGGGAAAGGAGGCAGGGGTATTTGTCCCAGAAGACAAAGGACCGCCTCTGGAGAGAGAAGAGACAGTCCGCGGCCCATAGGAAAATGGCAGTTTGTAATGGTACAAGGGGAAACCTCATGGTAGGATGAGGTGTTTAACTTTAATTGAACATGTTAATTAGATGAGCCAAAGGAGGCTCTTGATTGCTGGACCTTTGATAGCTGGGCCTTAGTAGTCAGCTTCAGGAGGAGGGATTGGCCAAGTAAGGGAATGGACCATGGGGGCCATCTTCAAGGAAGTAATCTGATGGGTTTTAGTAAAGGCAGAGGGAATGGGGAGAAGGGCAAGGCCTGCCAGAGCCACATGCTCCAGCTAGTGTCCCTTCAAGCCTGGTGTGGTGGCACACGCCTTTACTCCCAGCACTTGGGAGGTAGAGGCAGGCGGATCTCTGTGGATTCAAGGCCAACCTGGTCTACATAGTGAGTTCTGGGACAACCAGGATTACAGTGATACACCCTGCCTCGGGGGAAAAAAAGCAGGTAAAGCTTAAGAGCTCCCTCTGCCCTTCTGGAGCAGTCCTGGGATTAGAAGTAGTTCCCTCTCATGATGCCAACCTCAACAGCATCCACAGAATTTACGGAATTCTCTCACTTTGGTAACCCGGCAGAATACTCAGTAAAATGTCCTCAACTCTTCTTTCCTAGGTGGAAGAACTGGCCCTCCAATCCATGATAAATTCTCGAAGAGGGACTGAGACGCTCTCTTCTCAGCCTGCACCTGAACAGTTGTGTGATGTAAGTTCAGTCGAGTCCAGGCTTCCAGAGAGAGTGTGGGGTTCCATTTTTCCTTTGCTGCATGGGTAGGCCAAGGCTGGCTCTATAGCACATTACCAAGTCCAAAGGACCGTGGAAGTGCCGATCAGACACTTGGGGTGTGAGGGAGTTTACTGTGGATCGAACCTGGGACCTCATACATGGGGAGCCATCACCCTACCAGTGAGCCACAGCTCCGGCCTCTCATAATTTGTACTTCATCAGCTTTAATGTTTCAGGCAGTAGCCACCCTGTTTACTGTGTCAGATTTAAGCAGCCTCTTCTCTCTCAGTGTACACCGCTTCACGCCTGGCCTTCCCAGTTACTCAGATCACCCCATCATTTCCAGTTATTCAAGTGAACCCCAAGAAACTGGTAGGGATTGTTGTGGGAGGGTTCACGGTGAGTTTTGTTTTGAAGGAGTGTCTTCTGTACCCAGCCTGGCCGCCTTCTGATCCTCCTCCCTCTCTGGGCTTACAGGCATGTGCCCCACATCCTGTTTAGAAACTTGGCTCTTTTAGGAATGTGTCATCGTTGCTGTCCTGTGTGAGTGTGGCCTTCAAGTACAAAGCAGGGCCAAAGGATGAGTAGTGGGTGTTACCCTGCTCACTCTTACAAGTACCTTCAAAAAAGCCCACACAAGTGGTGGCGCACACCTTTAATCCCAGAACTCTCGAGACAGAGGAAAGTGGATCTTTGTGAGTTCAAGGCCAGCCTGGGCTACAGCGTGAGTTCCAGGATAGCCAGGGCTACAACGAATAAAAAAAAATAAAAAAGGCAGTACAGTCATAGTCTACACAATGATTTTGCTAATGGTTTCTAGAAAACTTTTGAAGACCAGTTAACATTTTAGAAAATATGGAACATTTATTCTTACCCCTTTTCAGTAATGGGAGAAATGAGAAACAGAAAATGTTCTTTCCTCTCAGTAATAAAAATGTGATGGAGCAGGGCGGTGGTGGCCCACACCTTTAATCCCAGCACTCGGGAGGCAGAGCCAGGCGAATCTTTGTGAGTTCAAGGCCAGCCTGGGCTACAGAGTGAGTTCCGGGAAAGGCGCAAAGCTAAAAAGAGAAACCCTGCCTCAAAAAAACAAAACAAAACAAAAAAGATGGGGGAAAAAAAAGGATTTCTGTGTGTAGCCCAGGCAGTCCTGAACTCTGTCTGTAGACCAGGCTGGCCTTGAACTCACAGAGATCCACCTGCCTCTGCCTCCTGAGTGCTGGGATTAAAGGCGTGCACTGCCACCGCTGTCCTCAGGCAACAACTACTCTTAACTGCTGTTCATCTCTCCAACCCCACAAGTGAGATTTGCTTTTGAAGAATTTGCTGTTTCCATGGGGAAAAAAAAAAGAATTTGCTGTTTTGAGGCTCAGCTCCTTCCTGGTAATGCCAGTGTTCTTGTTTTCCACAGATGGCAGTGCATGTAGACAATGAAGCGTCCATCAACCAAACCACACTGAAGCTGAGTACAAGGAGCCCTATGGAGGAAGAGGAGGAGGAGGAAGAGGAAGAAGAATCTGATTCCTAAAGGGGAACAAGAGCTAGGGTTAGTTTTTTTGTGTGTTTTGGGATTTTTGGTTGTTTTTTCGAGACAGGGTTTCTCTGTGTAGTTTTGGTGCCTGTCCAGAGATCTGCCTGGCTCTGCCTCCTGAGTGCTGGGATTAAAGGCGAGCGCCACCGCCGCCCTGCGTGAGGTAGGGTTAGTTTTACAAACGAAATTTCGAAATCTCAAGCACTTACTTGCCTTGGGTCCTGGAGCCTATGTGAAGGAGTGTCTCCACTTGTGTACGGGGTGTGTGTGTGTGTGGTGGTATGTGCTCCCTCACAGGTGTGACAAAGCCAGCACTGGGGGTACCTCTCCCCTTGGAAGGTGTAGTTAATTCTAAGTAGTGAAAGGAAACCATTTCCCAGCAAAGCCCAGTACACGGACTAGACCTGGATGAAGGCTCTCACACCAGCAAGGTCCTCCTGTGAGCATGGCTACTAGAACTGTAGGCCGGCCCTGCTACAGAAAATAAGGAATGTTCTGTGAGAAATCTGCTCAAGGGTTCCCAACCCCACTGTGCTGGCTGGGTTTCTGTCAGCTTAACACAAGTTACAGTCATCCGAGAGGAGGAAATCTTGACAGAAAATACCTCTAGGAGACTGAACTTGAGGGAAGCCCATAGAGTATTTTCTTAGTGGTTGATGTGGGAGGGCCTGGTCCTGAGTGCTGTAATTAAGAAGGCTGAACAAGCCAGTAAGCAGCATTCTTCCATTACCTCTAAATCAGTTTCCAGGTTCCCACCCCCCAGTTTGAGTACCTGCCTTTGTTTACTTCAGTGGACTGTGATTCAGGACATGTAAGCCAAGTAAACCCTGTCTTCCCGAAATTGCTTTTGGTCAGGGTGTTTCAACAATAGAAACCCTAGGACACCCCCCTACCATTTTTCCTTTACGTAAAGAGACTACCTATTCACAGGTCCTGGGAAGGTGGTAGTCACTCTTGAAGTTCTGCACATGAAGAGCGGTCCAAAGATTGAAGTTGCAGGAGACCCATTAGTCCACTGCACAGAGCTGGCAGTGTGTGTTTGGGGAGGAGGGGTGCTTCTCTTTTCTTTTTCTGAATGATGACTGATGTGGAGAGCCCAGCTCCCTGTGGGCTGTGTCACCCCTGAGCTGTAAGAAGAATTCAGCAAGCATGAAGAAGGAGCCAGGAAGCAGGGTTTCTCTGCCATGAGTTCTCTAGATGATGGACTGATTACAAGCTGCAGACTGAGATAAACTCCGGAGCTGCTTTTGGTCAGGGTGTTCTGTCAGCAACAGAAACCCTCGTTTGTGGTATTTATACCTTCCAGCTGCGTCCTGCCTTCACTTCCCACCTCAGTGCATGGCTAAATCACGCCATTTCCTAGAGTCTAGAGAAATTGGAAGGAAGGCCTGCCACCAAAGCAGAAATACCTTTTGTCCTTTTTATTTTAACCTGATAGTATTTTTATTAGAATAAGAGATTAGATTTGATAAACATCTGGATTAAAGTGATTAAAAGGGTTTTCGTACAATCTGTAGGCACTATACACGTTTACAATAGCATTGGTGCTTGGATTGAAGATAGAACTGACACATACTGATGCCATAATCCATTTATGACGTTCAAACTAACTCCACCTATTTAGAAACACGAATCCAAACTGAAGAGACATACACCACACTATGTACCCCACACAGTATATTTAAAAATAAATATAGAAATACAACCAGAAGTCTGAAAATCACCACAGTAGACAGACTGAGGCCCCAGCTATCATGGCAGTGATGGGCTCTGGTTACATTTTTTTTTTTAATGTGAATTGCTGAATTCTATACCAAAAGCAAAAAATAAAAATAACATGATGTACAGTCTGATGCTCATTTCAGTAGCAGCAAAGCATGCTTCCCATGCACTGCCTGTGAAGGGTCTCACAAGGCTCCCTCTCCACAGACTGAGAGGTCACCAGCAAGAGTGAAGTACCAAGGGTCCGAGAATCCTGACAATCCAGGCAGCCAGCCAGTGAGTCACGGAACATGAACAGCAGTGCAAACATCAGTAAGAATGACCACCCAGGTCACCAGGGTTTCACTGTGGTTCAGCCTGGCATGTGTTTGATCAACATACAAATAGCCCCAAGCACAAAGCCAATCCACTTAGGGGAGTAACCATAGTGATAAAGACAGTAATATTAAAAATGACACAAGTACAATTTGGCACATGCTGTGTTCTTCATCCTTTGTCACAGATGAGATGCACGTCTGAACAGAGACAAGCATGGGAGAGGCCTGAAAGCAACATGGCATGCCGCTGGGCAGAGGAGTTCCTCTTGTGCTGTTTCCCAAAGGTTCAGATGCTAGCGGCGTGGGTTGGTGTGCTGGGCTGGTTAAGCCCAATGGTGGAACAGAGCCAACCTGCGAAGTCCACCTCCTCGGCATCAGATCTCTTGATGAAAGCATGAACCTGTGTGCAGAAAACAGAAAGAAAGTGCTGTTAAAAACTACCAGGAAGGAAAAGCAAGACTCTCAGCCTGGGTACCACTTGCTTCTAAATGTTCTCCCTTGAGCAGCAAGTAGGCCAGCTACATACAGCCCAAAGACCCTCTGCCGCATGTATAAGCTGTTCAGCCCTGGGGCAGCCTTGTCTGTCTGGGCAACTCCGGCTTGTTAGAAGGTTCGCTACACTCAAGGCTACTCAAGGCATGGCGTCTGGATCCTAAAGTATCCCATTCCTGTGCCACTGTCGTCAAATTACTAGATGGAAACTCAGGATGCTGGCAATGTGAGGTGAACCAGTCAGAACTAGGGGGGAAAAAAAAGGGGCCTGTCCTCAGGAAGGTTGTGGGCTGGTCCCCCTGTAACTCATAGGAGGGCTGAGGAGACTGACGCCTGCACTGTGCAGCCCCAATCCTGACTGAAGAACGGGGTGGGGCAGGGCAGAAAAATGGCTGAGTCAGATGAATAAACAGGCTCTATGAGACTCACCATGAGCTGCTTCAGATCTGCCCTCTCTGCAGGGTTCTTTATTAAGCTGAAAAGAGGAAAGATGAATGTGAGAACACTGCTTCCCAGTCACACTGCTTAGGTTTGCATGCCTGCCCCTTCAACTGAAGGCTGAGGAGCTGGTGCCTGAGCCTCCTCATCCTCCATTCTAGGCACACCATCATGCCTAAGCACATAAATGAAGTCTTGCTGAATTAAATCAAGGTCAGGAAGCAACAGGATGATCCCTGCAGTCTAAGTAAGCACAGCACCCAGGATCAGACAGTCGTGAGTCCCAGCACTACACAGGGAAATAGCAGCAGCCAGGGTTAATGGAGAGGGAAAGGCTAAGACCAGGGTTCTCAGAGACATGGTGCAAACTTACCATTTATTCACGAAATCCTGAAATTCCAGACTGAATACTCCACTGGGCAGTTTTGGAGGAGGCTGCAAACAATATGTGATTATTGTTTGTCAACATGTGAGACACTCGGGACTCCTGCTCCAGTCACTCCCCCATCACACCCATGCCTCTGGCCACTGCTACCCTTACCAGTTCTGGGAAAGTGGCCTTGGGAAGTCCTGCTTCTCCTGGCTCCCCTTGCTGGGACCACTTCAAGTATTCTACTACCCTGGTGACTGAACAAACTGTTTCCCTCAGCCTGTTCACTCTCGTATGACGTAAGGTTGAGCTGTTGGCTCTAGAGCCCTCTGAGTTAGACACTCAACTGCAGAGTAGAGTAGAGTAGAGTACAAGTGTGTGACTGTCGGGAGTGCCAGCAATAGTTACCAACTAGGAAGCACCACTCAGGCCCGACAGCACCCGAGAAACCACAAAACAAAACCCCTTTCTGAACCCCGAAGAGTCTAAAGTTATTAACGGCAAGGCTGAGTATGGGTGAATCCTGCTCACACGCTGCGGTACTGCGCAGCTCCCAGGTCTGCCACGGATCCTGACGGTAGCTCTAGGAATCAGTCAGGTTACTGACCTGTGCCAGCAGCTATGTGTGGCTTTCTTGGGAGGAGCAGTACTTGAGGTATACCTAAGATGTCCCTGCTCTAATGAGACACCAGCCCAAGCATTCAGGAGGCAGAAGCAGGTGCATCTCTTGAGTTCTAGGCCAGCCGGGTCTGTAATAGTGAATTCCAGCCAGGACTATCGAGTGAGTTCCTGTCTCAAGAGTGGAGGAGGCAGGAAGGAAGGAAAAAAGAAACGGCAGCTGGGTGGTGTCTACTTACAGTCCCATCACTTTGGGAGGCTGAGGCATTTGAAACTAGCTCAGGCTACATGATGAGACCCTACCTAAAGGAAACGGAACAAACACCAGCTCTGCAGGTGTGGCTCAGTTCAGTGGTGGAGAGCTTGCACAGCATGACTGAGGCACTGGTTTGACCCCCAGCACCGCAGAAACAACACAACACAAGCCGCCTACTGAAGACCCCCGAGCCCTCTCACCCTGAAGGCCTTGTCAGTTTGAGGTGAGCTACCACCCAGATTAAAACAGTGGCACTGGGCAAGCCCCACACCGCAAACGGTCCCAGCTGCTGAGAAGGTGTGAAATATTCAAGAGAAAACAACTGGTCTCCAGAGGCCAATGTCTGCTTCTCCCAAGTGGGAGGGGGCAGGCAAGAAAGGGCTGGGTGCCAACCAAGGCTCTGGAGGTCAGGGAATGGAAAGAGGTAGGTGACAGGAAGAAAGCACTGGGGGAAGATGTAGCTATTGCCCATCCTGGAGCCTCAGTTTCCGTAGCTACATGAAGAGGGCAAAGACAGTTTGGCCCACCTCCGCTGCCTTGAAGAACACGAGAACAGAATGTGAGCACGTGTGGGGAAAGCAGGGTGAGAGCCGCACTGGTCCAGGCAGGCTCCTAACAGGCCTCCCACCCAGAGCCATCCAGGCTCCCATAGGCAGAGGACAGGTGGCCCACCCTGCACTGATGAACTCTTCAAGCCTGTGCTGCTCTGTCCTGCCCCCTGCTGCTTGGCATACTGCACAGCAGAGAAATAAACTAAGCTCCCTGGTGAGCAGGAAAGCACTGACTGATTTATAACCTCTACGGTGACCAGGATATTCCCTGTTGAGTGTGTGACAGTGGGCCTTTTTGTGCCTTTAAGGGTCTGTTTTCAGAAAGGACCCAAGAAGATAGATACCCTGTGGTTTTCTTAGGAAGTCAAGGTTAGGTGATGGCCTTATCTGAGCCTACTGCCACCTCTGAAACATGCCAGCACTCACCCTTCTCATCAACTGCCAAGACTGCTCCTGCTGCAGACACAGTGCTGGCCCGCCAGGCCGCCTCTCACATCCCTGTACTGCCCTAGCCTACTCTTGAGCAAACCATGGGGCAAGTCTCCTCCTTGAATGTAAACTTACTTGTACATGGGTTTCACAAGTTCTATGGCTATCAAGTCTGCCACCACCGCCTGGCCTAAGAGTTTGAAGTTGTTAATGACCTTTAGAGTAGGTATATACATTAAAAAAGATTTTTCTCGCAAAGCAGTGGTGGCACATGCCTTTAATCCCAGCACTTGGGAGGCAGAGGCAGGTGGATCTCTGTGAGTTCGAGGCCAGCCTGGGCTACAGAGCGAGATCCAGGAAAGGCGCCAAAGCTACAGAGAGAAACCGTGACTAAAAAAACAAAACAAAACAAAAAAAGATTTTTCTCAAAACTTTTGCCCCCTCTGAGAGAGTTTCTCATTCTATAGTGAAGGCTAGCCCAGAATTCATATTCTCCCTTGGCCTCCCAGGTGCTGGGATTACAGGCTTGAGTCCCCTCACTGAGAAGTAATTTGCTTCTTTCACAGAATTGATAATAGATGTTCCACATCTCTTTCTATAGTAACAGCTTTTTAAACAGCACTTAAAATAAGAACCAGCTGGGTGGTGGTGGCGCATGCCTTTAATCACAGCACTCAGGAGGCAGAGGCAGGTGGATTTCTGTGAGTCTGAGGCCAGACTGGTCTACAGAGTAAGTTCCAGGACAGCCAGAACTACACAAAGAAACCCTGTCTTGAAAAACAACAAAAAAAGAACAAAAACCTTTATGTTGCAGTTCTACATTTACCAGCCTACCTCCTTCACCCCACCCAACCATCATGGAGACCAGGGACTCCTGTTTTTCCATCTTTGGTCTATCCCACTTATCCCTCCTCACATCCCCTGTGCAGTACAGAACTTTGTAAATGCAATGGACAGCCTAGGAAATGAAGACAGACAAACATCAGTGGGTGAACGGGAGGCTCCTGACGTTGGGAAAGGAGACCCTGAGGTGACAATTCCAAGTGTGGAGCACAAGTACCCCGAAGACCACAACCATGTGAACAACTCACAGGCATCCTAACCGTGATGTCATGGGTTTCCCGCCCACCAACCCTTCTGAGACAGGGATCTTACTGTGTAGTCTGCCATGGGCTTAAAACTCTCCTGTCTCAAATCTGAGTACTGGGATCACAGGTGTGCATCAACACACTCATAACTACTATTTTGTTTTTTTCCCTTTTCCTTGTTTTTGTTTTTTCCATTTTATTTTATGTGTGTATGTCCACATATATGTCTGTGTATCACATGCATGCAGAGTCCACAAAGGAGGTGTCAGATCCCTTGGACTTAGGGTTACAAATGGTTATGAGCTGTCATGTGGGTGTTGCGAATTAAACCCAGGTTCTCTGCAAGAGCAGCCACTGTGCTTAACCACTGAGCCATCTCACCAGCCCGTAACAATTTTTTAAAGCTTTATTTAATTTAAGTATGAGTGCTCTAGCTGTATGTGCAACTTTATGCCAGAAGAGGGCATCAGATCCCACTATAGATGTTTGTGAGTCACCCTGTGGTTGCTGGGAATTGAATTTAGGACCTCTGCAAGAGCAGTCGGTTCTCTTAACCACTAAACCATCTCTCCAGACCTCCTAACTACTTTCTTAAGTAGAATAAATAACCCCCAAATCCAGAAAACCTGGCAGCACTTACTTCATTGACTATATAATCCAACAACTCAAAAATTGCCATGGGAGGTCGGCTGTCCATTCCATATGCTGCAGATTTATAAAGAAGAAGAAGAAATTGTAGATACAGACAAGATAAGATTCACATACAGAAAGTCTCTATGTATAAAGTGCACATTATAGTTAAGTGATTTGTAGTATATACTTCTCTGTTGTACAGCTGCACCGCTCCCCCCCCCTTTCTACAGCATTTCCATCTCCCCAGGTCTTTCTCCATTACCAGTTATCCTTACTTTCCCCCCAGCCCATCCCCTGGCAACCACTGATCTACTCACTTCCTGTCTCCATGGATCTGCCTAACATGCTCTAATTTTAAAAGAAACCCACAGTATTAAAAATCGTACTAATATTGCTAAGTGCTCAGCATGGCACCTGATCACAGCAAGTATTCTTCGAACAGTAACTGTTTCCTGCACCCACCCAAGGACCCTTGCTGCTCCTCAAGACCCAGCTTGACACCCAAAGAGAAGAAGCGGCCACTCAGAAATCTCCCACAGTATCCCCACAGTCCTGACTGGGAATAGCAGGTCACTCACAGCTGAGGGGCCTCCCAGGGGTCCTCGGCCTGGGCGGCGTTTCCGCTGCATCTCCCTCCACCTGGCATCCAAACAGCAGCTCCAGCTCCTTGGCATCAGGAGGAGGGATGGGGTATCTCCCAACTGCCATCTCCACCAGAGAGAGACCCATGCTCCAGATGTCCGACTGCACGGAGTAGTGAGTCCCCTGGAGTCTCTCGGGCTACAGGGAGACAAATGGTCGGTCATACCTCTTGCTCTAGCCAGGCCCCCAGTTACCCCTCTATTACCTTCTGGTGTCCCTTATTCTGATACGCACATAGGTAAAGCTCCTCTGGCCTCTTAGATGTGGCCTCTATTTATTATGGCTCTGACCTCTCCTTACTGCTCTACTTCCCCTGGCCCCTGCCTCAGCTGGCAGCATCCAAGGAGTCAGATCCTAGCTGCTTGAAGTTCCAGCTTTGCCCAGTCTGGCCCCTGTCCTGCACATGCAGGGTAGCCTG